GGCAGTGCCCCAGCACGTGGGGTTGGCGGGTCCCGCCTTCCTGGCAGCCGATCCTGGACCTGGCCTGCCACCGCTCCGAGGCGTGAGACCAGCGCCACCAGCGGGCGCTGCGCCGCCTCGTCCAGAACACCGAACGGTGCCAGGCCGGGGTCGGCGTAGCGGACCCGTCGGCGCCGGCCAACTGCCGGCTCTGCGGCTACAAGGACGGCTCGCTGTATCACAGGCGCTTGCAGTGCGAGGCCCGCGAGGCCTGGAGGCGCGACTACCTGCAGGAACCGCTGCGGCAGGCGGCGAGCAGGTTCAGAGCCAGGGCGATCCGTTCAGCGAGCTGTTCGCCAGGGGCCTGTTCCCCGACGTTTCGGAGCTCGTCGTGCGGCAGCCTCGCCCTGACGCGGACTACTTCCAGAGCTCGACCAGCTGGTGCGAGCTCGGGCCCCGCCTCGATGGGTATCACGTCTTCGTGGACGGCTCGGGCCTGGACCAGGCGCACCCGCAGCTGCGCACGGCGGGCTGGTCGGTAGTGGTCTACGACGCGGGCCGCAGGCGGGTCGCCGAAGCCCGGGGTGCCGCCCCGATCCACGAGGCGCCCGAGCAGCTGGCCAGGGACGGCGAGGACTGCGCGGTGCAGGTCCTCACGGACCAGGTGGCCGGTGGGCGCTTCAGGCTCTACATCGACTGTTTGGCCACCGTGCGGTGCGCGGCCTGCCTCTTGGCAGCGGCCGCCGCTTGCAGCCAGCGGGCCCACCTCTGGGCTGGGGGGGCGGGGCAGCTCCAGGAGGCGACGGCGGTCAAGATCAAGGCCCGCCTGGGCCAGAAGGCCGTTCGCGAAGGCCAGATCTCCCAGTTCGAGCTGGGTGGCAACGCTTGGGCCGATATGCGTGCGAAGGAGGGCGCCGCTGCGGCAAGGGCGAAGCTGGAGGACGTCCGCGTCGTCGAGGGCTGCCAGTCTGTGGCACGCCAGGCGGCGCAGCATGCTGCGGCGCAGGGAGTCTACATCTCGCGCAGCGGCCTGCTGGACTCCATGGGCGTGAACGACCTGCGTCTGATCGACCTCGGCGACTGGCCCGAAGGTCTCGAAGAGGAGGGGCTCGGAGACGGCGCTGTGCCAGAGGCCAGCTCCCACTGCACAGACGGGAGCCAGCCGCCTGATCTTGGCGGCCAGCTGCGGCCTCGCTGAGTGTGCGGGCACACCTTGCTCGCAGCGCCGATCTTCGATGACGAAGATGAGCGCTCTGTCATGCTTTCCAGTGGCCTCTTGCTTTTCTGTACCACGTGCCGTGGGTATATAGCAGATAAGCGGGGACGAGGCCACCAGGGAAACTGCCCAGGAGGCCCGATCCCCTGCGCCAGCAATAATAACACTGCCATCGCCAAAGGGAAGCACCCCAAAGGGGGGAACAGGCTTCTCGGTAGCTATAGATCGCCCTCCGAGTCTGAGATCGGTTATTGGTCTGGACATTTTTCCCGTGAGCCTCCTGTGGTGGCCCAGACGGGTGCCCCGGCCGAAGGCTCGAAGCGGCCCGGCGTCCTGGATGTCCTGCCGTCCTTCGGGCTCCAGTTGGCCCAAGCCCAGCGGTTGGGGTCGAGAGCCCTAGTGGCTAGAGCCGATGCCCTTGCGTCCAGGCAGCGGGCCCACGCGGCTCAGGGTCCAGAGGATCCGCCAGACTTCTGGCCCTAGGCCCCGCGCAGCTGGGCTGTGCGGGGGCGGGGGGCGGCAGTTTGGGGGATCCCGTGGGTCGAACCTTTCTGGTCGAGTCTAGCCTCCTCCTCCTCCTCCTCCTCCTCCTCCTCCTCCTCCTCCTCCTCCTCCTCCTTCTCCTCTCTCCTCCATCGTTGCTATCAGCTATCATCCCATCCTCCCACCACCCTCAACCAAGCGTCCCCCCCATCGATTGGGGCACACCCCGCGCGACTTCGTGGCCCCTTAGAGAAGGCTCCGCCGAAGACCCCAATGGCAGGGTTCGCACGGCACCGCCACCTCCATTTCGGCGCAGCCCTCACACGTCTGGTGGCCCCACACAGAGCTCCGCGGAAGGCCCCAGTGGCAGGGTTCGCGTGGCACCGCCACCTCTATGTCGACACCCCTCACACGTTTCGCGGCCCCATATTTAGGGAGCTCCACCGACGGCCCGGGTGGCAGGGTTCGCATGGCACCGCCCTCTCCTTTTCGGCGCACCCCTCAAACGTTTCGTGCCGCCGATTGCCGCAGTGGCAGGGTTCGCGTGGCACCGCCGCCTCGATTTCGGCACACCCCTCACACGCTTCGTGGCCCCATAGGGAGCTCCGCTGAAGGCCCCAGTGACGCATGGCACCGTCGCCTCAATTTCGGCACACACACACACACCTCACACGCTTCGTGGCCCCATGGGGAGCTCCGCGGAAAACCCCAGTGGCAGGGTTCGCATGGCACCGCCGCTTCCATTTAGGAGCAGTCTCACACGTTTTACGGCCCCATAGGAGCTCCCGCGGAAGGCCCCCGTGGCAGGGTTCGCTTGGCACCGCCGCCTCCATTTTCGGCGCAGCCCTCACACGCTTCGCGGCCCCAACAGGGAGCCCCACCGAAGGCCCCAATGGCAGGGTTCGCATGGCCCCGCCGCCTCCATTTGGGCATACCCCTCGCACGCTTCGTGGCCCCAACAGGAGCTATCCGACCCGATCTGCGAGGCGGATCCGGTCACGGCGACAAGAATCCTCCTGGAGGCCCAGAAAGGATGTACGAAGTACAGGGAGGGCCGCCGTTGTCTCGAATGGCCCTCCTCTGCATGAAGGTCGGCGGCGAGCCCCGGGGGGAAAAGAAAAGGGCCGGGCCTTTTCAGAAGGCTCCGAAGTCCCCGGGCCTTCTGAGTAGGCCTTCCCCGGAGACACCGAGGAAGCCTCTCCGAAGGCTGGAGGGCCTCTGAGAAGCCCCGCCGCCTTGAGTCTGAGAAGGCCCCCTCCTTCTCACTTCCCCCCTCGTTCACGGCCAAATGTCCGTCAAAATTAGAACCCGGACCTCTCCAGGGGTGCACCCGACACGGTTCGTCACCGAGGATCGAGTTTCGGGGGCCCCGGGGCCCGGACACGGCCCCAGGAGGCCGAGATTTATGGACAAACCGCTTCGAAGTTCGAACCACGCAGTTCGAGCCTCGAACCTCGAACCTCGAACCGCCTCGAACCTCGAAATTCGAACCTCGAAGTTCGAGCCTCGAATTTCCCTCCCCCTCGCTCGCGTCTCGAGCGTGGCGGCCTCCTGGTCCCCGCCGCAGGTACTGGTCCCCGACAGGGGCCCCACGGCGACAATCATCGGCGGCGGCAGGCCAGGCGGCCAATCCCCCGACTGGTTGGTGAAGTTTGAGAAGGATTCTGGGCCGCCGCCGCCCCAGAAGAGGAAAAGGAGGAGGAGGAGGAGGAGGAGGAGGAGGAGGAGGAGGAGGAGGGGGAGGAGGAAGAGGAGGAAGGAGGAGGAGTAGGATGGGGGGGAGGAGGAGGGGGACGAGCATGGGGACGAGGACAAGGACGAGGACCACGACGAGGACCAGGAGGAGGAGGAGGAGGAGGAGGAGGAGGAGGAGGAGGAGGAGGAGGAGGAGGACGGCGCCGCAGCGGGCGCAGTGCCGGCTGCCCCTGCGGACCGGCGGGCGCGGCCTTCGCAGCCAACAGCAGCTGGCGCCGGCAGCTTGGGCCGCTTCCTGGGCACAGAGCCTGAGCGGGGTTCGGGAGCGCACCGGCCTCGCCTGCCTGGCTGACCTGGAGACCAGCGGGCTCCCGCTCGCGGGCGCTTGCCGCGACGCGCTGGCCGGGCTCGCGCAGCTGGCACCGCCGCCGCCTCGCCCCGGCGCGGAGCCGGCCGAGCTGCCCAACTGGCAAGAGCTGGCCGCGACGCCTGCCCGAAGGCTTCAGAAAACCCTCACCGCAAGGATTGACCACAAAAATCAGACTTCCTTGCTGAGGGCGCTGGAGCTGGAGGAAAGGGCGCTCCTGCGCTCTTGCGGCGGGCCTCACGCCTCCGGGTGGCAGACGGCCTCGCCCAGGCAGCCCCCCGAGCGACTGGACGACGCGGACTACAGGGCCACCGCCCGCGCCCTCCTCGGGCAGGACGCGGCGCCGCCTGGGGCGACCTGCTGCAACCGCACCAGACCGGGCGAGCGGGCAGGCCAGCGCTGCGGCGAGGCGCTCTGCAAGAAGGCCCGCCACGCTCGGCGCTGCTCCCGGGACGGGGGCCTGAAGGCGCGCAGCAGCGACCTGGAGCGAGCTTGGCAGCGCATCCACGCGGAGTGCGGCTACCTCGCCTCCCGCCAGGTCCACGTCCCGGCCTGGGACCGCCGGGCTTGGCGCTGCGCCGGGCGCGACGCCCGCGGGGCCGCGGCGGCGCGACCAGGCGACACCTGCAGCTGCGGCCACGCCCTGGCTGCCGAGCGCGAGGAGGCCATCCTCGACCTCGAGGCGCAGCGGCCCGGGCAGCTGCGCACCTTCTTCGACGTCACGGTCCGGTACAGCGTGCCGGCCGACGTCGACGCCCTGCGGGCCGCCGCTGGCCGCGACGGCTCCGTGAACGCCGCCGCGGAGGCGGACAAGCACCGCCGCTACCCGGCGAGGCAGGCGCCCTGGCGGATGGCGCGTGCCCCTGGCACAGGAGACCGCAGGCCGGCACGGCCAGGCGGCCCTCAAGCACCTCCGCGGCCTCGCCCGGGAGCAGGCGGCGCTGCTGGCGGCGGGCGACGAGGCCGAGGCGGAGACCCTGGCCGGACAGCTGGTGGCCCGGTAGGGACGGGAGCTCAGCGTAGCTCTCCACCGGGCCGCAGCCCGACAGCTGCGCTCCGCCCTGGGCGCGGACGGCGCCGGGCGGGCAGCTGAACTGCGGGCCGCCGCGGCGGCCTAGCCGGGCGGCTGCTGGTGCTCGCGTTGCTCTACCAGGTCGTGGCGTTCGGCTACGCGCTCAGGGCGCGCGTCGGGCGTGCGATAGACTCGCCGCGGCGCTTGCAGGAGGAGGGGGAGGAGGGGGAGGAGGAGGAGGAGGAGGA